AGAATAACCCTCCAGAAAGTCCTCAACTAGCAAGGATAAAAGATGTAGACTTTGTACACTTAGCCAAAGAAATTGTTGGTGTGTGGAAGAGAATCGCACGACTTTTGCACATTCAGGAAGCAACCATAACTCAACTTGAGCACGACAATAAAGATGATGTCTATGAACAAAGCTATAAGATGTTGACAGCATGGAAGAACAGTCAGGATAATTCAGATGCACCATGTGAACAGTTAAAACTTGCTTTGTGTGACGATATAGTCAAGAAAAATAGCATAGCCCAACAGTACTGTTACCAGCCTAGAACTTAATGTCAGATTAATCAGGTGCATAATTCATCTCAAGCCTATATTTCTTGTAGGAATGAATGTTAAAATAATAATTATTAAATAGCTTTACATAGTACCTATCATCTAGACCAACATCATAATATTTGATATATGCAATTTAATTTATTTGTTGAATAATTTCCATCCTTTAGTTATCCTGAAGTTGTGAAGAGGCATATTATGGTATATTATGTATGTCTCAGATGTATGATCATCGTAATGAACAAAAATTTAAGTTTTGTTTGATTGAGAACTGTACTAAACTATAACAAATTTTTTATGTGATCTGCCCCAGAATTTGTTCTGAATATTATTTGTTTCTCATTTCCAAGAAAGATTAGCAAAGAAACAAGAGCAGAAGCAAGGTTGGCTCTACTCTAGAAAATTTTTTAGTGTTGGTGTTCAATACCATTAGTTAAGCAGGCAATAGGCCATTTTACAGTTGTGTACTTAGTTGCCAAGCCTTTGATTTGGAGTGAGGCTGAAGGTGACCTTGTCGTGATAGAGACCAGTATCCAATTAGCATTTGAAAAGCAGCAAGGTTTGTATCATAACATGGTCACCCTTTGCCTCATTCCTGTTGAAAGGCTTGGCAACCAAGCACACAACTGTAAAATGGACTATTGAGGAAATTTTTGTCTCTGAGGAGAAAAGTTCCTTACACAATTTAGTTGATAATTTGAAGGCTCTATTCCCTGGCCAGAGGGAATGGCAGATTATTTAACCTTTTCTAAGAAAACAAAATCATGCAAAAATCATGCAAACACAATGTTTGGAAGGTGTATAACAAAGTGTTGAGGAATAAATTTTTAAATTGTAATCTTTGTTGGCAGTTCATTTTTAAAGAAATAAGCTAAACCCCACCATTAAGTTTTTCCCTATGGCATCCTAAATTCTCTGAAGTCCCTCCTGCATTGATCATGGTCATTGGCAAATATTTCATCTTCGGTACTTCAAGCTTCTCTCATTATCTGGAGAAAGTTAAAAGAACAATTTCTGGAATCACTCAGAACTCCCACTGTTCTTCAGGTTTTTCTCTCTGAATGACTTAGGACCATTCCTTTTAAAGTAAGTTGCACAGGGCATAGTTAAGTAAGCACTACAAGTAAAATAAATTTTCAAACCAGTAGAGCAATCTTTCTACCTGATGAGTTTTCAAGAATTCCAAGCAATTTTTGGCAGTATAAAGGAGAACTTCAGGCAGAAAATTTTAGTGGTTACAGCCTGCAAAGTAGGGCACTAGAATAGTGAGGACAATAAAAGGGAAACAGGCTCTAGGCTTTCTAATGGTTGTCACAGATTTAAAAAACAAACACAACAAAGAAAATAAGGAAGTGATTAAAGCAGTACACAAGAGTTCACTCTTTCCACTTTATTGCCTGATGAGACCACAAAGTTGCTGCAAGGAAGACCAATGATTAAGAGACAACACTCATTTCCAAAGAGGTTTAATTCTGCAAAAGGTTGGTTGCTCAGGGCTGACTGGGCTGTATTTAAAAGAAACACACAGGATTCACAACATCTTTACTATTTTTTAATAAGTCATTTCCGACAATTGGGACATTTTTAACTGTGCACCATTTCACACTACATATTTAGCTGTTCCAAAAAACACCAACAAGTTTAGTTTGCAACATTTACATGTCAGGCAAATCTTGTCCCATCAGTGAAAATCACAAAAACTGTTAAAATATCCACTCAGTAATTCAGCTGATACAGTCAGATTAGTTAAAAAATTTAGGCATCCTTGAAGCGAATACTGAGATACAATTTCTTGAACTCATCGAAGCCAGCCAGGACACCAGCACCTGCCATACCACGGAGGATGTTTGCTCCAGCACCCTTCATCAAGGACATGAAACCCTCGCCCTTGATGATCTGCACAGTGCAGTCAATGGAACCCTTGTACTTCACTGCTTCTCCTGATGTCATCATCATGCGTCGACGGATGGTGTCAATTGGATAAGAGGCCAGGCCAGCAGATACTGTTACACCATAACCCAAGACAAAGGAGATGAGCAGTCCAGCATCTTCACCCAACAGCAGTGGCTTCAGGGTATCATACAGACCAAAATAGAAGCCACGGTACACAATGATACCAACGCAGGAAATGACAAAACCTCTGTACAGACCAGCAATTCCATCAGATGCCAGTGTCTTGCGGTACACATCAATAATGCCGTTGAACTGCCTATCACCCCCTTTAGAACCTGCCTTTGCATCATTGGCCAGCCTTGTTCGGCAGTAATCCAGAGAGTAGACGAACAACAAGGACATGGCACCAGCAGCTCCACCAGAGGCAATATTCTTGCTAAACTTGGTCCCATAGGAATCAGTTTTCTTGGGTTTGAAAAGGGCCTTAATCTGATCCTTGAAAGCAAAGTTCAAAGCTTGCGTTGGAAAGTAACGGATGCAATTGGCAAGGTTACCTGGAGAAGAGCAAAAGAGTATATGGTTCTATTAATCTTTAACTCCCAGAAATTATTAACATTTACCTTCTCCCTACAACATTCATGTTGTCCAGCAAAAAAGTTATGAGTATACTTTAAATTATCAATGAGAAGTTATCTTGATCGTAAACCAAATTCTTGCAACTAATTTACAAGGAAAAGTGTAGCAGCTAGAGGGGAGAATTAACAATCAGATCTGGGGAGTTGAAGGGTTTGGCAAACATTTAATTCTGTTTTCATGAGAGTAAGGGATATGATGCAACTCTACACCCAAGATTAAAATTGTTCTTTACACCAGCAAGACAATTTAACTCAGCAATTACACAGGTTGTAAAGCAACCATTCGAGAGGGTTTCTGTAAATGAGAGAAGAGTGACTGGAAAAAAACCCTTAGAATAAGGAGGATAACCATCAGCCAAATTAACCCACAAGTTACACTAGGTTTGCAAACCAAAGTTGGGTTGTTTCGGTTGAGGCAAGTGCTCTCCGCACAACTCCATGCCTATCACTCCCTCTCCCCCCCCCTCTCAAATTCAAGGAGGGGGAAGGGAGATCTGCAATAGAATGGTTTACCATCCAGATGGAGTAGTAGAGTAGTAAACATTCTCTGACAGCTTGAACTGCTTTTAACTACAAAGAGGCAGACTGACTTATGAATCAAAACTACTCACCTCTCCAGAAAGAAAGAAAACCCTCAGCTCTGTATGTCCTCATCGTACAGTCCACAACACCCTTGTATGGGGTATCCAAACGTCCAGCCTTCAACATCTCATCTTGATTTTGAACAAGAAGCTTCACTCTCTCAATTGGGGCAGCAGCAGTTTTGGAAATGATAGCAGCAGCACCACTAAGTCCAAAGTTCTCAATAAAATGTAGCTTTTTCTCACTTGGAACCACTTTTGCCATCTGAAAGAAATGGAAAAAAGGTTACATTTCTCACACAACTGTAGGAATAATCTGCTGGTTGCAAATTAAATCTTTACAAATATGAACTTTAAAACAAATGCATACTTTCAAGAATTGATTAAAAAAGGGAAGCCTATGCCAGAAGGAATGTCCTTTTCTTTATCTAGACGAGTTCACCAATTGTTGGAAGACGTACAGTTAGTAAAGAGGACAAGTTTCCACATGTACAAGTTCCCAAGTAACAAGTGTTGCAGTTCGATTTGCAGTTTCTTTTTTTTCACCACTAAGCCTTAACTATATTACACTTAACCTGAACTATTACTTCCCGAACAAACACAAAGTATAAAAAGGAAACGGTAGAAAGGTTTTAAGGAAACAATATTCGCCGCGAGGGACGGTGATTATTAAGTACATTTCAAAATTGACGAGGGTTGTACGAGCGGAAACTATCGAAGGAATGCACAGAAAACGTCACTTCCGAAAACGATGTCGATATCAAATCAGAAAGTATTGAAAGAAATTATTGGTCACGATTGGGTATAACAGCAATAAACTGATATTTAAGGCTTTCCTGTGGCCAACAGAATATCGACAAACGTAAAAATTTTGTTAATGAAGTTTTAATCTCAACTGAGCCACGTGACCAATCACGTTGGAACATCTTCGACCGGCAAAGGCGGAATTCAAGGAAAAAACCTTTTAGTACTTTAAATGAAAGAAGGCTAAAGTGAGCTTTAAAACCGAAGTTTCTTCAAGATCTCACAAGGATCACTATATTTTCGTAACTTTGCGATCAAATCGAATCTTTTGCGCGAGTGACGCTCTCTAATATCACAACTCGAAATCACAACTTTCACGAATTATGTGCTTCATGGATAAATAAACAGTAATCACAAAAGATTTAAAAGGTCAGATAAAGAAATTACCACTTACTTTGAATATCCTAGAGTAATGAATCAGCCAAAACTATTAAACACTCGACAAGAACTTAGGCTTCGACCGGCGAAATCCGTAGACCTTCGTTGTAAGGGAAGATCAAAGGTTGTAGAACGCATGTAAGCCACGCATGTTTCCTTTGATTGGCCAGATTTTTACATGTGACCAAGATGCTAGGATTGGAGACAAACGACTTGGAACGCCTTGTGGATATTGCAGCGTGCACTTGGTGCATGAAACATTCTCAATACACAGAAAATTTAGAGAAAGCGGTTTGTTTTTGTCTAATCAGTAAGATGCGAGTTTTGGTGTCATGTAAGTATGTATCTTACCAAGACTTCCGTTTCTATGCCGTTTGAATGGGAAAACTTGAATTTTTATCGCTGATCGATTGTGCATACTTTTCCTTAAATAATACATATTTGCTCCATTACCGATGAATCAAGCCTCAGAACGTACTCAAATCATCACTGATACTGCTTCTTTTTCTTTGTTAATTTCATTGCCAACATATGAATGCAATATTTCAAATATCATCGAAAAAGTCTAGTCTACCCATGTGGGAAAAAGCAATTTAGAGCGCTATGTTTATTGATGCCACACCCCCCAAAGTTTCGACACACTTGCTGGTACGTGATGTACAGTTTTCCTTTCGTCCCACTCTTCTTTGTCTAAATCTCTTTTAGGAGTCTCTGGTTACTTTCAATATGATGAAAAAGCTTAAGAGACTACCAAAGGCAGACAAAAATGTAAGTGTTGTGGTAGTTGTTTATTTAACCCTTTAACTCCCAGATCAAATTTGTAATTCTCCTTACTGTTGACCATACAAGTCTTATTTTGTTAGTTCAGAGAGTTAAGCATTGGATCAACTAACTATCCCCAAATTTTATTTTTCTTTCTTCTCATTACTTATCTGGTTGATATTGTATTGATATTGTAATGAGAAGTTCTGTCTTAGTCACTCAAGGGAGTTTAAGGGTTAAAACTTGACTTTTTTTAATTATTTGAGAAAATTTGTGTTCAAAAGGCCATGTTGCAAACCATCAACCAGAGTAATCAATATTTCTAGTTTTAAACTTGATAGGAAGCTATTTAACCTTTTAACTCCCAAGGTCTGATTGTTAATTCTCCCTTCTAGCTGCTACACGTTACCTTGTAAATGAGTTACAAGAATTAGGTGCTAGATTAAGACAACAACTTCTACCTGATAAGTTTGAGTATTCTCATAACCTATTTGCTGAATAATGTGCGCATATTTTAGGGCAAAGTTAAGTATCAATTACTTTTGGGAGTTGAAGGGTTCAATTGTTGAGGCTTTAAATAATCTCAAGTTTCAGCTCCAAAAGGGAGTAATAATGGTGATGAGATGGTCCTATGAATGGGTAGGAGACATAGTTCCTCGATGTTTTGTAAACTGGATGCTAGATTAAGGTGTTTGCGTCCAATCCACAAATAAGGCTATTTTGTTACATCAAACAGTATCTTCTAGTTGATAATTACATTCTTTCTCATCACGTCTCTGTTTGAAATTATGTAACATTGTTAGGATAAATTCATTCCTTTTTTGTTGTCTGCAGGGAGTGAAAGGGTAAACAGGGTGTTTACATGGAAGGGTTCTGCTGTATATATTGTTAAAAGTAATTATGATGTTCTTCTTGTATAGGCCCCAAGAAGTCTTCGAGTGGAAAATTTAACTGAACTTGACAAGCTTTATCTTCTTCTGGCTGAACACAACCTCAGAGATAGTTTCAATGTGTTGTGTTATGACTTGAAAATCCGTTCTATAGCTGATTTGAATGGACTAGATGATGAAGCACTTAAGAGATTTAGACTTCTTCCTAAATTTGCTAAAGACCAGCTGAAACAACTTCCACAGCAAGTAGGGACAGCTGATTTTGTTAATTTGGCACTGGTAGGTTTGGGTTTCTTTTGTTTCTAATGGAGGTTGAGCCCATGATGCAATAGCTAAACCTCACATACAGGTTATAATGATGACATAAAGGGGGTAAGTTTCTAAAGACTTTGCAATGGGGTTATTGAACAATGATTCCTTGAGTACATGTTGGATGTGAGTTTTAATAATGGTTTTATTAAATTATATTTAAACCTTGAATGTTAGGATATTTGGAGCTTTTTTCAGCTCTGCAACGGTTGGCACAATGTATTTCCTTATAAGGTGACTCAGATAATGAACTGGCTGGATTATGGTTCTCTGGGCACACACACACCATAACCACCATTGGCATGTGGTGAATGGTGGAAGCTATGCATGCTTTCTTGGAAGAAAAGGATTATTATAACATAAATTCACTCACTCCTGTTCAAAGGCTTGGCAACCAAGCACTCCACTGTAAAATGGACTATTGAGTATATCAGTTGTCAATCATCAATTGCATATAAAAATTGAGTGGCCTATTGCTAAGTTGTTGACCCACTGTTGGTAAAGGGGAGCAGTTCTTCATGATTACCCACTTTACTTGTACTCTCTCAAATAAAGAACTGGTACAGACCAGCAAAGCCAATCAGGTTGCAGCATTTATGCTCAAACATGAGCAGAGTTGTACAGATGATGAATAGCTGTGGTTATAAGAAAACAAAAGTCAAGTGTAACTGTTGGTATCTTCCTTCCTTTTAGACACATGGAAAACTTCCCTACAAAGCTCAATTGGAGTCCCATGGAGTACCATTTATATCTGTTGATGAAATTCATGTTGTGAAGAAGATTTCATCAGGACCAGTATCTGGATCTGTTTTTGAAGCCATCTGGACAAAACCAAATGGAGAAAAGGTTAATTAAATACAGCATAATATTCTGATTGGTATGACTTGGGCAGATTTGAATTTACCCAGTTGCCCATGGCAATTACAATATTATTTCAAAAAATTATTGAATTGGAATTGTTATGAATATTACTTGACTTCATTGTGTTCATTTCTTAATTGCAGATTAGAGTTTGTTTAAGGTATGACCGAGCTCTGTCCCAAAGGAAACATTTTCTCCATGAGGCAGAATTATCAGCATCACTGAATCATGAGAATGTCCTTCATCTTTATGGAGTGATTTTGCCTGGACTGTACACTAACTCCATAGCTCTGGTAAGTGAAGATAAAAGAAATAAACACTGCATAGTATTAAAATGAACTCTCAGGCCTATACTGTTTACAGGCCCAAAATTGAAGGTGAAAAAAATTAGGTTCTGTAACCAGCAGTTTTTATTTTGTATTAGGTACATGTATCAACGGACTTTTTTTTAACACTTTTTAACTCTAATATGTGATTTTTACTTCTCCCCTTTAGCTGTTGCATGTTTCCTCATAAATTACAGCTGTAGTTGCAAGAATTTGCTAGAATTGAAATCCTGTTTGAACTGGTAATTCAGTACTGCACTTAGATCAACGATGTTTACTTTAGGTGGTGGATTTTGCCATGTATGGGAACATCGTGGAAGCCATGCCACGGCAGTCAGTGTACAGTCTGCTGCAGATGATTTCCCAGATTGCGGCGGCCATGGAATACCTTGAAAGCACAGGTCTATTTCATACACTGATAATGGCTTCATCTGTATTTGTGGTCGCACCTGGCAAGGTACAGGTTGATGAAAATGTACTCAAAATTACTCTCATGTTGTCACACCTAGTTGGTTATAGTTGGTTTTCTGAACTGATTATTGATAATGAATGTTTGTTTGAACTATTCAGGGACTTACACCTTCACTCTTTAGCTGGTATAAGGAGAGGAAACCAGTAAATTGCTTAGGGTTAGGGTTAGGGTTAGGGTTTGCTTTCATATTTTCAATCTTCCCTCTTTTTTGTCACTAACTTTTGAAAGCCTTTTTTTTTGTCCATCGTAGCCCATTTTTTCAAGGTTTGGGTTGTTTTCAACCTTTTATCTCCCAAGGTCTGATTATAAATTCTCCCTTTTAGCTGCTACACATTTGCTTTAAATTAGTTGAGAGAATTTGGTGTTAGATGAGACAAAAACTTCTACTTGATCAGTTTGAGTATTCCTATAAGTTGTTTGCTGGTTGTTTTATGGATATTATAGGGTGAAGTTGCATGTAAATCACTTCTGGGAGTTAAAGGGTTTAGTCAGTTATCATGATGGTAATTATGAAGCAGACCAGATGCTGGTGCATAACAGGGGTAAGTTTCTAAAGAAACTGGTGGTGTGTCAGTGGGATAGTATAACAGGGTAATTTTAATTAGTGTTATTAGCTGAGTTGATAACATAAATTGGCCACTGTATAGAGTTCAAAGCTGATGTTTCAAGTTTTGGCCCTTTGTCAGAGTGAAACTGATGCTGGTGCACACTGGCAAATGGTTTTATGTGAACTGTACGTTTCAACACTCTTTGCATTGATTCAATGCAGGCCACAAATCAACTCACTCAAGGCATCTCAAGATAATGAAACTTTTTTTTTATTTGCAGATCAAATTGGGAGGGCTCTGGGGATGTTTTCGAAGAGACAAGAAAGAGTTAGTATTATAATAATATTGATACCTTTTGTGTGAATTGTTGAAAAAAAATTCCAGAGTTCTCTTTTAGGGTTTTTGTACACATTGTTCTTACCAATAAATTCTATCTTCTGTTCTTTTTTAATTTCCTTCCAGTTCTTCTACAAAGAAAGGGGAGACAGTAAGCTTGTTTGCACTAATTGCCAAAGATCTGTTTCGTAATCTGGCACACCATCAGGATTTACTATCCTCGACAAGGGAAAAGGTATCACCAACTATAATTAAAGTAAGCCCTGAGGTTTAAGAAGTAATCCCATGGTAGGATATTCTGCCTGAGTTTTGTCCGGCAAAGGACTTTCAGTTTGTGTCATTCATCACCTAATTTGTAACCTGATCACAAGACCTTTGAAGAGTAAAGTGGCAAGTTCTTTAAAATCTTAAGAATGACAAAATTCTAGTTGAGTTTAGCAGTCAATAACATTATCAGTTGCAATTGAGTAATTGGTTCCCATGTACAAAATACTAATTAAAATAACCTTTTTTTCAAAAGCATGGAGCTGTGCCTAATATACTGTACTAGGGAAAATTAAATGGTAATAGGACAAAGTGGAGCACAATTTGGGGAGTTAGTGGGGAAGTGATTTCAAATTGGCAGAGAATGAATTGTATGTCTCTGAATTGTATGTCACAAAGTAAGATTACCAACTATTTGTGTCAGTGACAAAATACAAGAAACTCAGGATTGAAAAATTTAATGCAAGAGCACATATCCATCTTATTGAAACTTAATAATAATCATTTGCTGGTTAATTTTGTACATGTTGCTATGTTTTCAATGTGGACAGTTTTCTTTATTTTGATTAGCTAGGTAGTTGAGTTTTATTGGCTGATGTCTGAAAGTCCATAATTTTTATTGGCAGCTTAACTGTCCTATATGTAATCTGATGGGTGAAATTGGACAGTTTGGATCTGAGACAGCCACTAAGGCCACAAATTAAGCTATTGAAAATCATCCAATATTCAAGCATTTTGTTGTTGCCACAGTTATTTCCCGCTCACAATAAGGTTACCATTTAATTTAGAGTGTGATCAGTGTGGTGAATTTAAGTTTTGGAAAGACTAATCAGATGACTGTTTGCTTTTCAAAACACAGTTAGTTATCCTGATAACAATTTTCTGTTTCTTTCACAGCTTGTAAATAATGCCCTCATACCAGATGTGCTGAAGAATTTATTTGAACAATGCAATGCAAAAAACCCAAAGAGCAGACCTCTTATGTCTGATGTTGCAAAAACTCTTTCAGTGAGTGTTTTATAAATAATAATTAACTACTATACACCAAAGCAGAGGTGGCTTGTAGTCACTGATAGATATTTACCAAGCTGCAAAGCAGTGAGGTAAATATCCACCACTGGCCAGGGACATTGAGATGGTGAATAGTTGTGTTAGGATGTGTTAAAACAGTAGAATGATATTGCACAAAAATATGATTGATGAAAATAGTCCATTAAACACTAAGGTATCCAACTCATTAACTAATTTTCTTTTTTTTTTTTTTTTTAATTTACAGACTTTTTCTCTTCCCAAGCTACTGGTCAAAGTAGATTGTAATCGTCAAGTGTCACATCAACTCTGTTGCAAAAAAGGGGAAGTTATTCTGCTGATTTCAAAAGCATTTCAATTTCTGTGAGTACTATAAAACACATCTTATTCCTTTAAGACTGGAAAATATTTTTCATCTGGTCAATCATTAACCCCATGAAAAAATAGTTTTATGTAATGTGGTTGGAATTAGTTTCAAACTCATTTAATTCATATTTTTCTTTACCATAACATTTCGGAATTTAGCAATTCTATCTTGCAGTTGCCATGTTTGAAATGTTATTGTAAATTTGACTTACTATGAAGACTCTGATTGGTCAAGAGTATACAGTCAATATACAATGGCGTGTGAAGTTGACATGATAACCCAATGTCTGCAGCAGATATTGGGTTATTATTTCGAGTTCAAAGTGTGCCCAATGTCTGCAGCAGATATTGGGTTATTATTTCAAGTTCAAAGTGTGCCCAATGTCTGCAGCAGATAATGTGTTATTATTTCGAATTCAAAGTCTGCCTAGTTTCCTAGCCCCTCGTTCGTGTACTGTTCTCAAACTTTTACAGACTTAAAGAGAGGTGTCCTCTTTTGCAGATTGTTTAAAAAATGAATAATGAGACAATTATAGAATTGGGTTTTCGCATGATACTATGAATTATCACTGCCAAGGTCTGAAGGCTTCAGCAGATCACTCAGACCTCGGTAGTGACAATTCATGATAAGAAGCTCCACCCACGTGCTATTAGATGTTAGTTACTCTAAGGGGTCAAAAGTTTGAAAGTTAATTTTATTTTATGTAGAGAACAGAAAGTGGCCAGTTCCTCGAGCAATGAGGCATGGCTTTGTGAAAAAAGGAATGGCTCAATGGGTCTGCTTGATCCTTCAAATGCGGAAGAACTCCTCGGTAAGTTAAAAGTTCGGTTAAGTTTTTTTTGAGAGATAACTGTGTAGCTTTGTCTGATTTACAGTTTCAATAGCAAATTGAGATAATTGCTTTTATTGAGTTGGGCGGGCTTAACTAGAAAACAGTCGTATGACAGTCACCCTGGTGTGTAGTTTACATCGTACAGTTCTATATGGTACTTCAGCGTAAGCTCAGTCAAAAAAAATAACTCGAAATTCGTTTTTATCTCTACGTCTGCAGCCATTCCTGTTCCCTCTATGTTTATGGAGAGATTTTTGGTTGAGTGTCTTACAACCAAGTCCAAAATGATCACAACATAATCACAAGAGCCAATCATAACAAAGGATGATAACAAAAGTAGCTTTTGGTTGGTTAAGGGAGTGGTGCGAGTTTTCTAGACCAATCACATAGCGACGAAAACCAAACAGAAAACTTTCGTCACTCATTTTAAATTACCGTGGGTCCCTTTCTTTACACTTTCTTCCCGAACCAATATTCAATAGTTTCCAACAAATAAAAGTTTCATTTCTAATTCGTCAATTTTCCGCGCCACAAAATTGAAAGGTCTTGTCTTGTTGCTGATACTTTCTCTCTAAGAGTGTTCATTGCATAATATTTTTAGGACATGAAGATATCTGTTGGGAAACACTGAAACAAAATGTTGAACAAGAGGCAACTCACACCTCATCAGAAGCAAAACCTGACAAAGATTCAGCTGGTGAGTCCGAAAAATATATAGTATTGAATACATTACTAACTTCTGCTTAATATGAATTTCATACAGAGGCAACGAGAGGTGGCGGGTTGGCAATGAGTACAAATCAGTACGACCAACGAGTTCTTAACAGTTCATAACAGTGCTCATATTCTCCGTACTGTTCTCTATCATTTCCTACGGTGCTGACTTAGAGAATTTAATGGAGTAACTCGCTCGACATTTCTTAGAAAGAAATTCGCGCGAAGTTTACTGTTCATAATATTTATTTTCATTCCATTCACCAGTTCCTCCCGAGATCCAAGCTCGCGGAATCGAGGCGGAGCATGCTTTTCAGCGAGCTCTTAAAAAGGGTAAGGTCCGGGTGTATCGTGGGCGCGTCATGCTGATTGGCCAGAACAGAACCGGAAAGACAAGTTTGAAAAAGTCGCTTCTAGGTTTGAAGTTTGATCCCGGCGAACAAAGTACTGAAGGAATTGAAGTAGATCCGTCTCGTTTCGAATTGGACGTTGACCGCGTAATGAACTGGCAGCTCGTAAAAAACGAGAAATTTACGTGTGAGTTTGCGGATGATATTGCAAGACTTGTCGTTGGCGAGTTGCGCTCAGGGGACGAGGAAAAGAAGCCAGAGGTCAACTCCTCGGAAGTTGACCCTGTGCAAACTGATGTCACACAGGGGGTATCAGCGCCACAGAGTAACCAGGTATGGTGGGTCGACTGTAAGGAAAACATGGAAAAACTGAGCTCTTTGACGCACTGTACAAGCCTAAGATCGACACCTAAAGAATTGCACTGCGGGGTCCCGGCTCATTTTTATAGTATGAATTTCAAAACTAATGTATAGCATCTCGATCCTGAATGTAAAAGTAGCAAACAAAAAGCTATTGTACGGGACTAGTAAGTACCGGAACTTCTGAGAGACCGTAAAGCAGTTTTTATGTTTGCTATTCGATAGGTTATGTTTCGGTTGATTTGGACTGCTTTGTGAATGTTTTGTGCGAGAATACGATCTTGACCTGTCCTTTTGTTTATAGACACAGATATTTACGTATTTCAGTGGCTCGATTGCTGTTCAATAAGATATGTCCAGTGTCAGACGTGATTGTTATTATTTGGCTGTCAAGCAGGAGGACGAAAACATAACACGCGTAGTTTAGAGAACATTTTTTTGGCATGTGCTGAATAGCAGTTTTCTGTTATCCCTTTGATCCCTAAGAGTGACTAGCATCTAATTTATTTCTGACAATATCTACCTTGACTCAAACATTGAGGCCATGAGAGTAATGGAAATGATCACCATTTAACGAAGCTCTTGCTTGTTAAACAAATTCTCCTTCTTAGGAACTAAGGAAATGCACAGAGAGCAGTATAAAGCCAAGGCACTCCGGTGGAAGGATATAAAGGGTTGAGATAAGAAAATACTAGTCCTATTTTAGTCTGCTGATGTCATGATTATCACTTTTTGTAAAGGTCGCAGTACCAGCAACAAGTTTTCCGGCACAGGACATCCCCACAGACACTTCAATGGAGCATTCGTCTGCAGCCGACACCGACTTAGCTGAGTTATTGCAAGATGCAGAGCTATTTCACATCGAGGTTGACAGTTCGCGAACCGTGCCTGAAAATGTTCAATCTTTAGTCGCTAAATACTTAGACAGTCAAGCAAGCTATGATCAACAGGAAAGCGACAGAGAAACAGTTGTCACAATTTGGGACTTCGCGGGGCAACATCTGTATTACGCCTCGCACCCTGTGTTTCTCTCCCCACGGGCTGTTTACGTGCTGGTGTACAACTTGAGCAAGGAACTGAGCGCCAATATGGAGCCCTGTGTTCGTCAGGGCGTGCACGATTTTATTCCACATTCCAGCGGAGAGGAAACCAACTTGGACAGCATTCTATCGTGGCTTGTTTCTATACACAACCTTAGTGCAGAGGTTAGGGCTAAAGAGAAGGACCAGGAAGAGGAACAGCCGTATTTGAGACCCCCGGTAATCATAGTAGGTACTCACGCTGACAACCCGTTCGAAGACCCTAAACGCATGGAGACTCAAATAAAGAAGAGCCTCTCTGGGAAGACCTACGAGCAGCACGTTCGCAGACCGTTTCACCGAGTGGATAATACGCGGTCTGGGGAAGACGAAGGTGTCCAGAAGGTTCGACAGGAGATAAGAGAGGTAAGTGCAATGATCAACTTGAACATCTTCGAAGCATAGAAAAACCTTCTTGTGATACTAGCATATTGAGTTCATCGTGAAGGATGATATTCTGTTATTACTGGTTGACATTTGTGGAAAACCCCCATATGACTGGTTCACTGCGCCAGCCACCAGTCTTTCTGGTTTTCTTGAGTTCTGATAATCACAAGCTCCTAGGAACGTGTTGCGAAATCGCCTGAGGGACTGGCAACAATCGTCTTGAAAAGCTCTTGTGATGATTTCATAGACAAATCGTATTGATGAATGATTTCTTTAGTTTTTTTTTTACGCGATTGAACATTGCTCTAGAGATAAGACTGGCTTGAAAAATGTCACACCAAGAAAATAGTTCGAACCACAGAACACACAGAACTATTTTTTTCATGGGGTTATTGATTGATTCAAATTGTTTGCAGGTCTTACGCTTAGAGCCGTACATGGGAGAAGATGTCCCCGTACGTTGGTTTAACTTCGAGAGGGTCGTTGAAGCGCTGGTGCAACAGAAAATTTTCTACCTGAAGATTTCTCAGCTCTACTTCATCGTGAGTAAGACATGCCTCATCGAGGACGAGGCGGAGATGGTAGCCATGTTAGATTTTTATCACGACCTGGGTATTATCATCTGGCATGGTGACACTGTAGTCCTTCAAACACAATGGCTGATTCATTTGTTCAGGAAGCTCATCACTATTCGACCTTTTGATGAACAGGTATATTGTTGATCTTTCCGTAAGGATTCCATCTTACTCTTCGATACGGTGAAACCTTTTCTTTTAGACACCTCGTGCAGGAGAAGCAACAAGCTCGTGCCCAGGGTTTCTCATCGAACCTCGTGGAACAAATGAGAGGGAGAGACTCGCTAGCGTCCGAAGGGTGGGAAGGGAAAGGGAGCTGGGAAGAAGTTGAGGGCAAAAAGCAAGAAATTCTTCGAGCCCAGAACCACTTTCGAGCGTCGAGAGATGGTTCGATCTCGGGCCCTTTAAATTTGGTGTTGTTAAATTGCCATCAGTTTAAAAACCTCTTACCAGCAATTCTTAGGCAAAATGTTTCAAACATTCTTCAAAAATTCTCTAAAATTTGTCATTCTGGGGAGTGAAATACTGCTGAAGTGCTTGTGAAAAGGAACATTTCTTTCCCACTAAAATAATGTAACTCTGATATTAACTTTTGCGTGTTTTGATTTGCATTTACAGTTCCCTTTATACCTCTGTCGTTCAAAAGTAAATCTAAGTTTCGGACATCTTGAGAGGGGTCAGACTTAAAGATTATTTTGCAAAATCATTGATTGAATGTCTTTTCAATTCAAGAATCCGCGTCATGCAGCAGCGTGGAACGAACTTGAAGAAACTGGCCTTCTGAGTATGTGCTTAGTTGATCACGTGTTTGCCGAATTCCTGTGCGATGGCCAATCACAGAGCGACATTCTCTCCATGATGGAAATGTATGGTCTGATTGCAAGGTTCACGCCTAAAAGTGAAGATGGAGAAGATTCGCCGGCTGTGAAGTATTTTGTCCCGGCACAGCTCTGTTCGTGTCCAGAGACAGAACTGGACACGACAGAGAGCGAAATTTGTCCTCTGTACATCAACTTTCCTGATGGCTTTCTCCCACACGGTTTGTTTCCGCAGCTCGTTTCTCGGTTCATCTCGGTTTGTCCCGAGTTGGGCTGCACAGACGAACCAAACCTATTTCAAAACCTTGCTAGGTTTATTCTGGGCGAGGATGATTTATTTCTTATTGGCAAACAGTCGTTTGTGAAAGTGATTCTCCAGACAAAGAACTCGAATGACGAAGGAGGTGGCAAAGCCGGTTTGGTCCGCGAGCGCCTGGATTCGATTCTGAGTAGTCTATCAAGTGACTTTGCATGTCTTCGTAACATGCGTTATGAATTCTCTGTAGCTTGTCCTTCGTGTTGCAACAAAGCCTGCACAAAACACAAGACCAAGTCATGTACCGAAAGCGCCTGCATTCATTTCATTCCGATTTCAAACGACGGAAAATTAATTTGCACGAAGACGTTCGGTGCCCGTTCACGACTGGAGATTCCTGGTTTACAGAAATGGTGTGGTTGTGTCAAAAAGGTAATTTAAGACTTTTAACCTTCTTAACTTGAAAATTTTTCGTCGAAGAAACTACACCGTCCTTAGTTCTTTGAGATTTCCTTTTATTTTCTTGGTGTCTCGTGGGATCAATCGGTCTGGCTGCGTCATTTTGTTGTGTGCAAGGGCAAGACTCATTTTTGCTCTGCCTCTTTCCAAGCAGGCCCCAGTTGTTTGAGGGAGAGGGAGGGATAACGCTATACGCTGAATCATCTTGTATCCGGTCATAGCACTGTGCGTTTTGTTAACTCTTATCCGACGGACAACGTTTTATCCATCGGATAGCGTTATCCGTCCTTTTGAACAACTGTTCCGCCTTTTGATCAACCTTAAATATAAATGATATGAGCAGACTGTCGGAAACCTGGGCAAGTGCTGAGGATAATCTGCGATGGGCTGGTATTCTGTCCAAGGAAGAGTAGCAACATTCCCAGTCGTTTCATGTTGCTTAAACCAACCTGGGCTGTGGTTTGATTCCTGACCTCACCTTTACCTCTCCAATAGAATGCCGTGGAACACTTTGCTCTGGTTTTAGCAGTTTCAAACTGTAAAGTATTTGAAAGGGTGCAATCTCGTTTCTGCTCAAAATTTCTCAGTTCAGGACTGTTACTTTTAGTAAGTTAATCGCTTGCTGGTCTTCTCATTACACGCATATTCATTTGCTCTCTGACTGGTTGAAAAGTTTGAAAACCAATGATTGTGGCAAAAAAACCGTGTTGTCAAAATGAAATTGCATTTTGTTGTATTTTCACTTCACAACTTGTTATTAGAATAGTTTCAATCTATGATAATTTAATTAAGCTTCTCCTTTTGTTTCAGAGTGACGAGGTGAGTCCTCCAGATGCACCTCGAATTAAAACTTTCGAAGGTAATCATTCCGAAACTGTTATTTTCATCACTACATGATTTCACACGCACTAGTAGGCTGAAAGAAACTGCAAACAAAATAATGCAGTTCCTTTCGTAAAATCCGTCAGCATTTAATCTTAAAAAAATCCACTGCTGGAATATACACTCTTATTTTACGGAGGAGTTCACGCAGTGTGAATTTATTTTTCCTTATTGTAGACGACATTGATAGCCCTTCAGAGATCGCGGTCCGCCCTGCAGTGTTTATCTCATATCAGTGGGGTCTCCAGGACACTGTGAAAGTATTGAGGAACAAGCTGGAGGAGGCTGGGTTCGATTGCTGGATGGATATTGGTCAGATGGGTGGAGGAGACGCCTTGTATGCCGAGATAGACGCAGGAATCAGAGCGTCAAAGGTGACTCTTGAAAATCCAAGTTACGAGAATTTATGACCGTTTGCTTCACTACCCGCCCCTAGGAACGGGAGAGGCGGCCTGATGGTTGGCGCGCAGGACTCCAAGTGAAGAGATCCGTGTCCGAGCCCGGCTAGATCTCTGAGACAGGCAACCCTTTCCACCCAGAAGTAGAAATTGGTGACAACAGACTGTCTGGGGAATCTGATGAAATTCTGGTGTCGGGAAAGAGGGGGCGCGCTACCTACGTTAGACGAAGCGTCCCATCCAGGAAGAGTCAGCTCCCAGTCCTTGTTCCAGTCTCAATCTCTGAATTTTACATGTACCGGGAAAGTAATTTCAGTAGCCATGCACCGGTGTACTCAGTGTCATATTTAGACCCTGAAGGGTGGGAAATCTAGCAAGCACTTCGACGAGGTTTCTCCTGGGTAAAGTTAAAAAACATGGGGGTGTCAAAAATCTAATCCTGAGATACATATCTCTGATAGTAACTGCACTTTTTGTTTGTTTCCGTTCAGGTCGTGATATGTTGTGTTACAAAGCGTTACTGCATGTCCGAAATGTGCCAAAGAGAAGTCACTCTGGCTGATACTCTACGAAAGCCTATCATCCCAGTGCTGTTTGAGTTCATTGATTGGCCGCCTCCCGGCCAACTGGCTTTGATTTTTGCCAAGCTGCTTTACATCGACATGTCTCAACTTCCTTCCGACAGTTTTCCTGAGGACAAGTTACAGGAACTTTTTCAAAAAGTTAAAGGCCACGTCGAACGTTGAATTGAATTGGCGGGGCTCTGAGAACAGATGTCGCTCTCGATAGTCCCCTTCTCGTTTTTTTTTTTTTTGTTTTTTTTTGCTCGCTCACCGCGCCATTTCGCTTGCCCGGCAAGCATAGTGCGTGGAACAGGCGACAAAATATAAAAATTATTGATTCTGATAAAATCAAAAAGGAACCTTGTGTTAAATAAAAGACCAGAACGGCACAAAGTAAAGGACGAATCAGAACAACAAATCGTACTTTTTCATTTTTATTCAAGACTTCTGTACAGTTCCTATGTTTAATAAAATACGCTGTTTTAATGATCTGCGCGTGTTTTACGACGACCTGTCTGTAACTTGTCAGAAAGCTACGTTGTTCATGGCGAGATCAGTTGCAAAATAAATTTATTGAGGCTATTTTTATTTTGCCATTATTCCTTCGTCAACTTGAATGTGTCCGGCTTTATATCTTAACCTCTCTGAACCATTATATGTAGACTAACAGGAACAAGTGATTTGGTATGGCGCTTATTTTCCTACTGGTCACAACAGTTGACCAGACACGAAGCTCTTGAGATTTCAATGAGTTTCATTGTTTCAGGTTTTCAACAACAGTTTTCAGTCTGGTCTCTCTACAAGGAAATTAGAGACGAAGCTCTCGAGATTCCGCTTAATTTAATTGTTTCACTTTTTAACAACATTTTTCAATCTGTTCTCTCTACAAGGAAATTAGGGTAGAACCGAAGACCCTCTACGCTGTCATCCCGGCATGCTTTGCCAGCTTGTTCTGTTACTAAGAGCCTACAACAATAAAAGCAACCTATGAGTTAATCACAATCAACTTCCCAAATACTCGAACCTCCGGAGGAGATTAAAGGAGGTTTGATTGAGTTAGCGTATCTATATACCTTCACAGTGTGCCCTTTATTACTATTTTGGTGTAGAGAAAGATGTTTTATCAGTCTTGTCCCGAGCGTGGGAGAAAGAAAAAATTCTGAGTCGCCATAAGGAAACGAATCTCAGACCTTCGGACTCCACCCTCCGCTGCGCTACCACTGAGCCACAGAGACTCTACGGTGAGCGGAGTCTATTACGAAGACACACGTCCTTTATACTGCTAAGATCCGCAATGTCGATAGCGTCCTGTTTTTAAATAGAAAGAGAGAGTCTCTGTGTGTAATCTCTGTGGCTCAGTGGTAGAGCATCGGAGCCCTCACGGGGACCCAAATTTTTTTCTTTGTCCTACGCTCGTGACAAGTCGAAAAAGCATCTTTCTCTGTTTCTTACCGAGCTCAAAACTTACCATCTCTCTTGTTCTATTTATTTTGGTGTCGTTTATGTGATAAGATGAATTCTACACACATTTTGACTGGTCCTTGTTTAGAATCTTTTGAAGGACATACGCATGGATGGTATAACATGAACAACATCTTGATTTTTGTTTATCATATAAAACTACTAGATTCACGGAATCAAGGCAACATGATGTTGCTTTGGTTCTGTTCAGTTACTGTAATAGTTCACAAAAGACTTCAAATGTGATTAGAACCTCAGTAACACACTCGGCTGCGCCTCGTGTGCAAGTTTTTGGTTCTTACCACAATTTTACGTCAACTGTGATCTATTACTGAACGGAGGCACCGCAACATCGAATGTTTTTGCTAAAAAGAGTAAGTTATGGGGGTAAAATTACAGTTACCCTTCGATGGAAATCCAGGGAAATCGATTTTGGTTTAATTTAACGCGATGTCCGCGTTAGCGAGGATTCGAGTCATAGGGAATCGAGAGAATTAGGATTAGATAATCCAGTGTTATTCAAACTTTTATTGAAATATTCAGATTCGCGCGTCTTCCCTATGAACTGACTTCAGACGCTCAAAGACATGGCAAACTACAACACAAGTGTGACTAACTCTACCTTTCTCTGGCCAACATTACGGATACTTTTGCCAAGTGTGCGAGTTCTTCGGCTGTCAAGGAGCTCTTTTCATCGAGCTATTACATGCAAAGAGAAAAAGACAATCCAACAGAGCAGTCAAAATATTGTCCTGATGTAAAGATCACTCATTGTTCATCTAGAGAAAACTGTAAGGCCCGGTTATTTAAACAAAGTTTAGCTGTTGTTTAAGAAAACCACGTTCTAAGCCATCTTCAATTTAGCTACGGATCAATTTTTTGTGGACAGTGTCAAGAGGCCGAAACTTTATAGTGGAAGGACAATTATTTAAATGAAATCAAGTCTCTCCTAGAGAATCACCGAGGCCCACTGCTTGCGTAGAACCGCGATTTGGGTTGGATCTCGTTTCAATAACCGGCCCTAAAAGATTCGGGTAGGGGTCTGACATCGAGACCTAAATACCCAGCTTAAAATACTTGTACATTAACATCAGTATGTATATTCTCCACAATGTTCTCTGAACATACCCGATAGTAATAACAAGTTGTTTACTAATCAAGAGCTTCTTTCGTTGGAGATCACTTCCTTTATACTCGTGACTTAAAAGTATAATTTTCTGGTGATACTGTGAGAAGAAATTAGATGCTAGTCACTTCGTTACCGCGTTCCTTTCAAAAAAACTGCCATGGAATGTGGCTAATCGATCTCACTGAGCCACCTGTTGCATACTAAGACAATATTGGAAAAAAAATTGATACCCTGAATGGCGACAGGCAATTTCGGACGCAGCCTAAAGAATGGAGTGCCCCGCCCCTACCCGCTCATTCCTCTCCACCCCACCAGTGGCTACATGTCTGTGCTTACCATTTGTCTGGTTGTCCGTATGACTTCCTCGTCATTGTGGGACAAAACTTGAATAACCAACACACCGCTGTCAAAAGATCTTAATCTGCAAGACACGTCCACACGTTAGCACTTAAAAAGGTACAAATATATTTTCTGTTCCCATAACCACTGTGATCGCCCAAGTTTCCCACACTACTACTTACACGGCTCTAAAAGGGAACAAAGGTTATAACGTAGAAAATTAGAAACTTAACAAAAGTTTGTTAAACTGTTTTCATGGATGTCCACCTGAGAGGAAGTAAACATAGAGAAACTCTTGTCATGACTGTAATCATGCGCTCACTCTTTTCCGGCTTAGTCCGTCGGATGAATGAGAAAATGCTCGTCGCACGAACAATAGCGTAATATTGAATATGGAAGCGATCTTCGCAGTAATGAACATTACTTAAGCAGAAGCCATGCATGACCTCTGCGATACCGGTGCAGTGCTCTACCATCTGAGCTCCCAAGCTACCAGGGAGCTGGTCATTATGTTGGTTCGTAATAAACCCGTGAACTGTTGAATCAGTGACTGTGACTATATGGAATTCATACAGAGTGATTCGTTTAAAATAGGACGAAAGTCAAATCTTATCAAGACAGGCAGGAATAAAAGCTTGCGCTTCTTCTGACGATATAAACACGTATCTATAAACACTTAAACTACTTCAAGTGGGTAACATATAAATTTTCTTCACAACAGTAAATCACCGGATTAAAATGAGATGACAGCACAGCTCACCTCAGTGGAATATTCACAGCGGAAAACATGTTGGCTGCATTTATCAAGTCTTCGGGGGAAACAAGCTGACGAAAGAATATCACAACTAAAACAATGACTAAATACACTTCAAAAACATCGTGACCAGAAAAATAAAAGCTTCACCTTCTGCCCTGAAGTTCAGATTTAACTAGTATTGTATTCCTTGTTCAAAATGTTTAGTTTTTTGTGGGTTTTACCGATCGCCATGAAGGCATGCATTTCTTTCCCTACCCTGACCGAACTCGATCATGAATAGGTGTATATATCAAAAATATATTTAAATGAAAGAAATACTCGTTCAGAGTTATTATTCATTTTAACCCTCTTCATCCTTCGCCATCCTTGTACCTCTCTGGTTTATATGTTTCTATCTTACAAAGCAAACCTTTTGTAGTCTTCCTCAACCTTAAAGTGGTTACGCATGGCCTAAAAAATTACTTCTGTCAACAGCTCCTGTTATGATGCAGTTTACGCAAAACGAACCACACACAAACCAACACAAACCTCCATTCCTCTTGCTCTGTTGAATCTGCAGTATACATCGGTCAGCGTCATCATGCCTCCTTCGTCCTTCAATGATAATAATAATAAACATTTCAAATGAAGTGCGATCTATTTTTGGTTCCATCTTCCGAATCAATGACAGAATTTGCACCTGGGTCAAACGCATGTAAAGACTTCATGTATGCACCAAGTTACTAAGTACGTTAAAAGTTTGATAAAACTTTCACTACCAAGATCGCAAATACCACTGTCATTATTTAATCTTCCCCAAGAACAGGCTTGAATAGTTGCAATCAAGTCTAAAGCACCAGGAAATGAAAGGTTGCGGTACACATCTTACCGTAATGATTTTTTGTAAGAATGTTCCCAGTTCTTTAGCGAGTTCTTTATGATAACTTGCACCTGAACCATGTGTCTCCCTTAAAAGACATTAAGAGTATGAATATTTTTCAATTAAGCGCCAAGTAAGAGAATTGCCTGTGTATTTTTTGCTGTGCTCAGTCTGTGAAACTGTGCTGTAATTATTTTTAAAAAAGACCCTCTCATCTACTTAACTAGTGTGACGATTCAATTAAATTAGATGTAATAATGATTCATAGGCAATTTTCAATGGAGAGTAGGAAGTAATCCTTGATTGCTGTGATTGGTCCAGAAAACTCACGCCTCTCTCTCGACCAATCACATGCAAAACTAAAGCAATCCACGCCTAGGTCACCCCTGTTTTCCCACACTTTTAGCAGCTTGGTCGGTTTTTCTTTGAGTTCTCATTGGCTCTTAGAGGTATTTATTTGATAACTTTGGGTTGGGTTTTACAGCACTAAATCAAAAAGCACTTTAACTGATGAATAACATAAAATTACTTTGTTACTGGATTGGCTATTCCCATGCTGAGGAGGTAAGACTTGAATGTAACTGTCTGAAATAAACAAAATAAAAAACTTCATCAAAAAGTAACAATCTTACAATCTGGGAGTAGAGTGAACTTACAATCAATTCATTCTACTCCCAGTAAAAACTAGTCACTGAAATGAAAAATGAACTGTGTAATATATACAAACAAAGAATTATTTGCAAGTTTGAGGCCAAAGTGTTGGATACTTCCATTTCACTAATAGTCTTCTCTATAGCCGAATTTACCCAAAAGTCTGGCAGCGAAGGAGGCTAATGCAGCAAAAGCTTGTTTCAAAGTGAACAGATTATTAATCATTTTAGTCATTTTACTTTTTCCAGAATAGTGCAGATGAGACCAGTACAGACCTAAGTCTTGACAAGATGAAACTAACTTGTTGAGTTTCACCTTTACAGAAACCGCTTTAAACCTTTAACTCCCATGCATGACCACAAAAGAATTTCTTGTTATATTATATCAACACAATATCAAGGAGGCAAGTGATGAGAATACAGAAAGATATCAATTATGGGATTATCAGTTGGTCCAATACTAAATTCTCAGAACTAAAATCATAAGAATTGTGTGACAGACAATAAGGAGAATAACAAATGACAGAGATTTAAGTAGTTAATTACCTCATCTTCAGTGATTGCACCCTTTTTCTCTTCTAATTTGGAAGCTACTTTATCAGCAATGGCAACCATTTCCTTGGCCTGTTAAAAATTCAGCACAAACATAAATTTCATGATAATTATTTAAAACAACCCAATCAGATCCCCCTAACATCAACCATAACTTGTTGCAAATAGAATTGCAGGTGTCCCCTCTTAGAAAACAAAACTAAACATCAACAGTGGTAGCTCTTTGTTATCTGTTTCACAGCCAGGGATGACCAAAAGTAATTTTATGCTTAGTTATCAATATAATTTCAAGCAAAAACTTGAGAACAACAAAAAATATCAAGTGAGGGATATGCTGTGATTTAACACTAAATCCTCAGACCTAAAATTATGAAGAATGTAAGAAATACAGAACAGAGAATTGATATTCAGATCTTAGGAATGAAAGGGTTATCCAAGTCACTCACATAATTAAAGCAACAGCAAGAGCTTATAACCCATGACATTTGGACAATCTAAGTCTTTAAGTACAACCTACAAGTGAAGTGTTACTGCACACTTTGTTTGGCATTGTTTAGAATATTGTATGAAAATCAAATAAGTATACCTTCTCCATTAATGCATCCAAGTCTTTAAAAGCCTAAAGTAATGTTCAAAAGAAAAAGAGACGCATTGAATAACTGGCACAAAACGTATCAGTGGAAAAATATTAGATCATATTTTTTTCACCATCTGAGGTAAAATAAAGAACATATTACATTAATTAAAAATATCCTAACTTCAATTTGATTCATCCACAATCCACCTTAGAAGAACATGACATAAGTTATACATTAACAAAATAGAATCTTGTTCACCCAAACTCAGTTAACACAAAGCTTCATCAAACCCTCATTGACAAGCGCTTTTTTGTCCCTTTTTGTGTCCCTTAGCAAGTTCAAGCTAGCTTGGTTTTAAAACATATTGCACTAGTACTTCAGTAAAAGGAGTACACAGAATAAAGCCTTGGTGAATTTTGATGCAACATCTCCTTCTCCTTGTGTTTCACACTGGAAGAGCAGAAAATGTCAGGAGAAAATCTTGAGTGCGGAAGTCCCTTTCAGAACAACCCTTTATTAATTATACTTACCTTTTGAATATAGTTATCTGTCTCTTTGGATTTCTCTTCTAGTTTTCTTTCAATGCCCACAATTCCTCCAACTCCTCTGGGACGATTCTGGAAGAGGGAGAGAAGCAGATAAGTGGTCTTGAACACCAAACAAAGTTTAAACCCCAGTGATCTTCCTACACATTCCCAAGCTGTTGCAACAGACGGGTTTTTTTACAAAGCAAGAAATAGCTATTTTAATAGAAGAGTTCTGTTCAAAATTGATAACTCATTTATAAATTCAGAGTATGTAACAGCATATCAGGAAGGTCAGTTTGAACAGTGCTTGAAACTAACAAGTTTACTTGTCATTGGTAGCTGTTTAGTATTTTAGTGCTATCAGATTATAGCCTATTCTTTAAAACAATACACAATCAACAATAGAAAAAACAAAAGGCCTACCTCATGTATAGATAGATGTATCATGCTTATGTGAAATTTTGATGCACATTTCTTTTTCTTTTGCACTTGCATTCAATTTTTGGCTCATTTTGTATAAATTATTTGGTTAACGTATATCTGAGCTGTACTGTACTGTTGTATCTCTATTTACCAGTCCTTTTCCTGCTGTACTACTAGATGATTGCTGTGCACTTTGCTGCATCCATGACCTCTTATTAACTTGTTCCATCAAACGAGCAAAGAACTAAATGGAATGAAACAGATACACAAAAGAGAGTCAACCACTTAGAAAAGCATTACAAGGGAAGATAAATTTTGCTCTGGTTCCTTAAACCTCTAAAAGTCCCCTAATTCTTTATTCACTTATCCAATCAATTGTGTCAATCAAAAAATTATTTTTAGTGAGTACCATACAATACAATATCTTCATTAGGACTCCCCAATGGGAATCTTTCTGCCTAATCATAAAGGTTACATTGATTAAAGAGATTCATGATTGAAAAAATCTTATATTTCATGTAAAATAATTTATGAAGAGTTTTTCATAAATGAGATGTCAATTGCCACAGAAAACTTTAAAATAGGGGTTAATTTATACAGAGAAAAGTTTCTAAAAGGTGATTCCTTCACTTCAACTGTGTCTTAAAGTTACCATCTTGAGTATTCTACCTCTGAGTGGCCTCCTTGCTTAAAAGAAAACTTGACACAACCATATGGACTGGAGACACATGGTCCAGGTTCCTTGTTAGCTGGAGGAGGGTGAAGACTTACAGCCACTTTAGCGCTGTTTAAGAAAAAAAATTAAATACAACAAATAGACATTCACATAATTGATAAAAGTTATATTTAAATAATATAATTTTAACTCAACTCTATGTGCAAAATAAATAAATTTGAAGATTTTATTTCAATCTGGGGGACCATGTACTGTAACCATAATATCTTTGGTCCTATTTTCAGGATTTTATGGATCTGCCACTGAACTCTGCTAATTTAGCACTATTTTCCTAAGACCAAGGAGAAAATGTTTTATAATTTTAAGTTCATTAAGCCTAAAAAAATTGATCACAAACCTGCTCATGAAGCCAGAAGATTGTTCTTCTACTTTGCTTACAAGAGAAAGTGGCACTGCTATGGCTCTGTCCTGAGCAAAATAAATAATAACAACAACAAAATAAAACAAACTTTCCTAGGCATGGGGAATAAGCCTAAAGTAATTATACAATTAAATTTGTTAAAATTCAAACACTGGATGAGGGATAGTCACAATTGAGTAAACTCTAAATAATTAGATGACATTTAGCCTTGATACCAGGTCAAATCCAAATGGATTTACTTGTCACACTCAGAAAAACCTGAGAGCCCAGAGAAAATCTCACAGGACAGGGAACACAATCAACTAGACTCTCAACCCAAATGAGATACCAGGTCTGGCAGTGGAACAAAGATCACAGCAGTGGGAAAGAAGATTTTTCACCAAAAGAAAATCATGCCTTTTATCTATTGTATTTCTTGTTTTTAGCTATTTCCTGTAGCTATGAATGATAAGAAGTTGATATAAAGGGCAATTTTTAATAACAGTAAAGGAGAACTGAAAAGGGTTTTAGAAACTGAACCTAAAAGCGTCGAGAGTGCGCACCTTGTACGTATTTCTCTAGAGATTTTTAAGTTCACCCTGTGCTCCTAGGCCTCTGAAGATTTTCAAGTTTACAATTACTTGCACCTTACCTGTTGATCTAGATCATCCCATACTATTCTATGTGTTGTTAGCTTAAGAGAACCATTCTCAAACGTTGTCTGCTCAAAAATGAAACCAAAGAAAGGTAGTTAAGATTGATGTTTCAGCAAGAAATGATTTGTAGTTTATTGTTCATTCATTTCTACCTTTTTGTCTCCGTCGTATATTCTGATACCAGACTGCTGGTGAACTCCTGACTCGCCTGGAAAGACACACGTACTGGATGAAGATGTCCAGCTAAACCTATCCATAATCTACCCCGAAATTCTCTCGCAATTTCCCAACGATTCAAGATTGCCTATTCTCACACTAAGGCTCCGCCATGTTTTGCCGCCAGCACAATGATTTCCAGCGGTAACGCTTATCATTAGTGTATTTGTTATGTAGGGAATACAAGAATATGGCGGAAGAACGATGGAGTTTTTGTATTGCTGACAAAAGAGAAATTTGGTGCTCGTCCGGTGAAATGCTCACCTAGATTTACTTGTGACCGTGTTATATTAAATGCGTTTTCCGCTTATGGAAGGTGTTCGTCTCGCTTTCAGATCTGGTGCGTGGAAACCAACTAGAAAGGTGAGGTTACGATTTTATATTCCAGGAAAACTCGTTTGCGTTCTATTAAAAGAAAATAGTGTTTACCCACTGGCTTCCTATTTGATGTTCTGTCATTAGACTTAACATATTTTTCGGTCGAAGAAATCGTGTTAAAAACCATTATTCAAGAGAGGATATACCGGTATAAATATTAAACCCACCACTATTCCCAACTACCTCTAAAAACCCCACC